CAGCGGTGGTCACGGTCTCACAGCGGAGAGGAATAAAAAGATCATCCTCGTGCAGACAGCCACACCAGGAGTGCGCGGTGGCCAGCTCCCCTGCGTGCTTCAGCACAAAAAGAGCAATCAGAGTCAGAGGTGATTTGAGGATCACGGTGACGGCTTCCCCAGAGGGAGTTCGTCACCCCTCAAGCACTCCGCAGCCGGTGGAGCGGCCTGAGGGGCGCGCTGACCTCTCTACAGGATGGAGTGAGCCGGCCGTTTCCTTCAGTTCACCCCCTCGAGACCAGATATCGATCGCTGCATCAGAGGGTGAGCTCTCTCTTTCTGGGGATGACGACTCGGCTGCATTGCCCCCTTCGGGTGTGGCAGCGTTGTCCGAGTCAGACACAGAGATGACGGCTATGCTTTCCCGGACCGCCGAGAATGTCGGGCTCGCGTGGAATCCTCCACCGTGTCCCGGTCCTTCGAGGCTGGATGAATGGTTTCTCGGTGGGGGTCGTGCTGGATCTCAGCAACCCCCTCCGGTGCCATTCTTCCCGGAGGTGCATGAGGAGCTCACAAGATCGTGGAAGGCACCCTTTACTGCCCAAAACAATGCTTTTAGCTCCTCCACTCTCACCACCCTCGATGGTGGGGCCGCTTTGGTGTACGCAGGCATTCCCTCGGTGGAATGGTCTGTGGCCATGCAACTGTGTCCAACAGCCGCTACTACTCTGCGGGGTGACCCGTGTCTCCCCTCACGGGCCTGTAAGTATTTGTCAGGCTTAACTGGCAGTGCTTACAGAGCTTGTTGGGAGGCGGCTTCTACCCTCCACGCTATGGCGTTACTGCAGGTCTATCAGGCCAAAGCCCTGAGAGACCTGCACGAGGGTGGCCATGACCTGGCGGTTCTACATGAACTGCGTGCTGCAACGGACCTCGCACTTCGAGCGACTAAGTGACCGCACAGTCTCTGGGTCGTGCGATGTCCATGCTAGTGGTCCAGGAGCGCCATCTTTGGCTGTGTCTGGCCGACATGAAGGAGCACGTAAGGTGCAGTTCCTGAATGCTCCTGTGTCACAGACTGGCCTTTTCGGCGAAGCTGTCGAGAGCTTTGCCCAGCAGTTCTCGGCAGCACAGAAGCAGAGTGAGGTGATCAAACACATCATGCGCCGGAGGAAACTTGCTGCTTCCACCCCGGCTGCAGTCCCTCACCCTGCTCGTCGCCGTGGGCGCCCCCTGTGGCTGCCCCCGCTCTCACGCAGCAGCAGCAGCCTTCCACCAGGCAGCATTGTGGAGCCGGTCGCAGGCAGGATGCCCAGCCCGTCCAGGCCCCCACCAAACCCGGCGGGAAGCACAAATGCAAGAGGCCCTGAGACGGGTGACCTGGAGATGGAGGAGACTGCTCGTTGGGAGATGGTGACCGCACCACTCCCTCCCCCAGAGGAGGGTCGGGTGGAGAATCTTTTGTTTCATTTTCTTTTTGTTCGGTACCCAAAACCTCAATAAAAGAGCGGTTTCCTCAGTCTCTGGGTGTCAAGTGGAAGAGAGTTGTGACCTGTGCATCACAGGGTCACTTCCCTCCTCCTCTTTCGCCAGCGGGCAGCAGTGGGTTGACCAAGAGCACCCCTCCTGCCCATTCGTGGAACCAGGTAAGGGCTGTAGCATTCGAGTCCCCGCTTCATGTCGTCACATGCCGGGCTGTCACAAGCCTCAAGCCGCGACCCTGTGTTTTCTCCCGCACAGGGAGGAATCAGGTGAGTGTTACACTTCACACCCAGACTCCGCCCCCTGCCGTCAGAGGCAAGGCCTTCACAAGCCTCGGGCCGAGTCCCTGTGTTCCACCATGCTGCCCCACCTTGGGTACATCGGTGGCCCCGTTGGTTCCTCTGGCACGGTCTCTCAGAGCCTGGTTAGCGCTCCCCAGTCTGTCTCGGTGGCTCCTGCGGACCATCAGACTCAGCTACGCGATTCAGTTTGCCCGGCGTCTCCCCAAGTTCAGGGGCATCCGGTTGACTTCAGTCAAGGCTGTCGATGCCCCTGTCTTGCGTGCGGAAATCGCAGTCCTGCTGGCGAAGAACGCGATAGAGGCGGTCCCTCCAGCCGATATGAGGTCGGGGTTTTACAGCCCTTACTTCATTGTGCCCAAGAAAGGCAGTGGGTTACGACCGATCCTGGATCTGTGAGTTTTGAACCGTGTGCTTCACAAGCTGCCATTCAAGATGTTGATGCAGAAACGCATTTTCGAGTGCATCTGTCCCCAAGATTGGTTTGCAGCGATCCTGGCGAAGGATGCAATAGAGTCGGTCCCTCCAGCCGATATGAGGTAGGGGTTTTACAGCCCTTACTTCATTGTGCCCAAGAAAAGCGGTGGGTTACCGATCTTGGATCTGTGAATTTTGAACCGTGCGCTTCACAAGCTGCTGTTCAAGATGTTGATGCAGAAACGCATTTTCGAGTGCATCCATCCCCAAGATTGGTTTGTAGCGATCGACCTGAAAGAGCTCTTTGGGCTGTACCTGTCGCCTCGCATCTTCACCAAAGTCGTAGAGGCAGCCCTTGTTCCTCTGAGAGAACGGGAGGTGCGCATCCTCAACTATCTCGACAACTGGCTCACACTCGCACAGTCTCGCGATCAGTTGTGCGCACACAGGGACTTGGTGCTCAGACACCTCAGTCAGTTGGGTCTTCAGGTCTACTTGGAAAAGAGCAAACTTGTGCCAACGCAGAGGATCTCTTTTCTCGGCATGGAGTTGGATTTGGTCAGCCAGACAGCACGCCTCACCCAGGAACGTGCTCAGTCGGTGCTGAACTGCCTCAAGACTTTATCAGGCAGGACGGTGGTACCACTGAAATACTTTCAGAGGCTCCTGCGGCATATGGCTGCAGCTGCGGCGGTAGTTCCGCTCGGTCTGCTCCATAGGAGACCGCTTCAGCACTGGCTCCATGGCCGAGTCCCGAGGTTGGCATGACTACGCGGTACTCACCGGATTCAGATTACACCGGCCTGCCGCAGAACCTTCAGCCCGTGTTCAGATCCCTCATTCCTTCGGGAAAGAGGGCCCCTGGAACAGGTATCCAGGCATGCTGTGGTATTCATGGATGCCTCGGCCACCGGCTGCGGGGCCACGGACAACGGGCACGCAGTGTCAGGGGTTTGGACGGGTCCCCAACTGTGTTGGCATATCAATTGCCTCAAGTTGCTGGCAGTACGCCTTGCCATGGACAAATTAAAGGGATAGTTCACCCAAAATGGAAATTCTGTCAATATAATTACTCACCCTCATGTTGTTTCACACCCGTAAGGCCTTAGTTCCTCTTCCGAACACAAATGAAGATGTTTTTGATGAAATCCAAGAGCTTTTTGTCCCTCCATAGGCAGCAATGCAACTTACACATTCAAAGACCAGAACGGTTGGAAAGTAACAAACAAAACAACCAAAAAAAACCTGTAGATCTGTGTTTACACATGATCTTTGATACTATGTTGGACTTTGGTCTGTATTACTCTAGAGCAATATTAAGATTGTTGTATAATACAGGGTATTAATTAATCTAGTTTTGGTTACAAAACCCAAACCTTAGATTAAAAAAACAAACCAAAAAAAAAAAATCAAATATAGACATAATAATACTACAGGAAACATGGCACAGAACCGATGAAGTCACTCTTTGTCCCTCGGGGTACTGTGAAATATTTCTATCCTCTAGAAAACATGAAAGAATCACACTTGGAAGAGATTCAGGGGGCATCATAATCTGGCACAAACAAGAAATTGACAAATACATCCAAACAATTAAAAAAGAAGAATCACATATCTGTCTCAAAATCAACAAGCACCTTACCCAAACCACTAAAGTTGTTTTCTTATGTCCTCTATATTCCTCCCTCTGAATCTCCATACTATAATGAGGACATCTTTGAATCTCTCCACAGTCAAATCAACCACTTCCAGGCCCAGGGAAGTGTGTCAATTTGTGGGGATCTGTATATGCCAGAACAGGATCTCTTCCCGACTACACCAGAGATAATGGGAATAACTATATTTTTGAACAGAGCTTCCTACAAAACATTGTAAACTTCCCAAGATATAACTCCGATGACCAAGTGAATAAAAATGGGAAGCTTCTGATAGAGCTCTGTCAAAGCCTGGGTCTGTACCTTGTCAATGGCAGGGTGAGACGAGACTCTCTTGGAAGGTACACCTACAGTTCTTTCCATGGTTGCTCAACAGTTGATTACAAGATCACAGATTTAGATCCATTCTCTTTCAGAGCATTCACGGTCAAACCAGTAACACCCCTACCAGACCAGAGTCAAATTACCGTTTACCTAAAAAGGACAAAAAATATGAACATACATTCACAGCGCAGTAAGCTGTACAACATTAGAGAGAATTACAGATGGGCACAAAACAGCACAGAAAAATATGTGACAGCAATTGGCCATCCAAAGTATGTTTACTTATCTACAACTTTCTAGGCAGAGTTTATCCTCACAATGGAGATGGTGTCAGTCTGGCTGTGGAGAACATAAATTATATATTTGGTTATTTGGCCAACTTATATAACTTCACATCCTCTAAGAAAATCCATAAAACCACACAAGAAAATGAAAAATGGTTTGATTTAGGCTGTAAAACAATGAGGAAAAAATTAAGACAATTATCAAATCAAAAGCATAGATAACCAAACAATGCAGATTTACGCCTTCAATATTGTGAGGAGCTTAAACAGTATAAAAGTACACTCAGAAAAAAGAGAGAACAGTACATCCAAGATCAACTAAAAACTATTGAAGAATCTGTCAATTCTAACAATTTTTGGGACAACTGGAATTCCCTGAATAAAAAAAACATCATGAACAAACAGCCATAAAAACCGAGGCACCTGGAAAAAACACTTTGAACAACTTTATAGTGAAATTAAAATGAACTCAGAACAAACACAAATATATATATATATATATATAAATGATTAATATGGAACATACAGTTGGTAAATACCAAAATCTATTAGACTACCCCATTACAGAAAACTAACTGATTGATAAAATCCAGGCCCTAAACAACAAAAAAACAAGTGGACCAGATGGCATCCTCAATGAAATACTCAAGAACACAGAACACAAATTAAGATTGGCCCTACTAAAACTGTTCAACTTTGTTCTGAGTGTTGGTAATTTCCCTGAAACCTGGAATAAAGGACTCATAATGCAACTTTTCAAAAGTGGAGACAAGTTACATCCAAATAATTACAGAGGCATCTGTGTAAGCAGTAATCTGGGGAAGCTGTTCTGTAGCATTATCAACACCAGACTCACTTTCTCACCAAACACAATGTCTTAAGCAAAAGTCAAATTGCAAGTGGAAACCTCAACTTGGCCATGAATGAACTGAAGGAGAAGCAAGAAGGGCTTTCTATGCCATTAAAAAATCATTAATTAATAATTCAATTAATAATCAATAATTATAATCTGGCTCAAAATATTCCAAGCAGCTGTACAACCAATTGCACAATATGGCAGTGAAGTTTGGTGTCCTCTCCTAAATCATGAGTTGGGACAAAAATCCAACTGAGCATTATAATATGATAATCAAGTATTATTTAATAATAGAAGTTTAGTCATTAGAATTAAAACTTGGTAACCATGAACTTAGGACTGGTGCTGGTGGCCCAGAGTGAAGATTTAGTCGCATATGCGAGTGATTTAATCACAATGTAGAGGGTTGACAGTCTATGAGAACGAAGTGTTAAAAACTGCAAAGCACAAAGGGAAGACAACTTGATGCGTAGTGTATTATATCTGTGCAACAGTTATTGAGCCTTTCTTAGAAAAAAAAAACATCTCAGATTTGGATCAGCTCTCTCTGACCGATACCCGATCCGAGAAAAATGGCACTATCGGAGCCGATACCCGATATGAATATCAGATCGGCGCATCCCTAAAATAAACCACTGAGCGTGGACAGGGTTCTCCCTTTGTCCAGTAGCTCTTGCAGAAAGGTTAACACGTGGGACACATCACACAAGGATTGGTCTAAGCTGCGTGTTGCACATCAATCAGAAAAGACTGATCATTTCCGGGTGTAAAGGTGTCTTGTAGAGACGTCTTGCTTTAGCCCAGGGCTGCCCAAACTCGGTCCTGGAGGGCCGGTGTCCTGCAGAGTTTAGCTCAGAGTTTAGCTCCAACTTGCCTCAACACACCTGCCTTTAAGTTTCTAGTATGCCTAGTAAGAGCTTGATTAGCTGGTTCAGGTGTGTCTAATTGGGGTTGGAGCTAAACTCTTCAGGACACCGGCCCTCCAGGACCGAGTTTGGACACCCCTGCTCTAGCCTCTAAGATGGTATTAGTCATGCTCGCGGGGAGCTGCAAAGGTTTCCGTCGAGAGGCCAGACATGAAGGCTCCACAGCTCTGGCCTGGGGTGCCAAATCATGCCCTTCGCTTGCGATAAGAGGTCCTTCAGTGGTATCGGCCACGGGGCTGTCGATGACAGCTGAATCAACTCGGGGAAGCATACTTGGTTCCTCCAGAGTGGGGCCACCAGAAGGACAGAGCATTTGACTTCCCTGACCCGCCTGATGACATGAGGCAGCAGGGCAACGGGAGGGAAGGCATACAGGCAAGCTTTGGTCCAGTCGTGGGCCAAGGCATCTCACTGTTTGGAAAAATAGATTGGGCAGTGAGCGCTGACTTCTGAGGCAAAGAGATCCACCTCTGCCTTGTCAAAGACCGACCAGATCATTTGAACTGTCTGAGGATGCATTCTCCATTCCCCTGGAGACACATTGTCCCTGGACAGCATGTCTGACCCTTGGTTCAATCTGCCCGGCACATGAACCGCTCTGAGTGAGAGGAGTTTGCTCTGTGCCCATAACAGGAGGAGATGAGTCAATGTGTGAAGGGAGTGTGACCTGAGACCTCCTTGGTGATTGACGAAGGCTACCACCATTGTGTTGTCTGAGCAGACCAGGACGTGGTGCCCCCGTAAGTCTGGTAGGAAGTTTTGCAGGGCTCGACAAACTGCCAACATTTCAAGTCAGTTGATATGCAGACGTTGCTCCAGGTTTGACCAGGAGCCGTACGCCAGATCGCCCTCGTACAAAGTTCCCCAACCCAGACTCTGATGCAGCGGTGGGTTACCCTGACATAAACACAGGCCCAGGCGCCAAGAGTGGACATGGAAAACGGAACATGAGCTTTGAGCCAAAATTGAAGGGGCCGCATATGAAGCAGGCCCAGAGGAATCACCGAAGTGTCGGCAGCCATGAGGCTGAGCATCTTCTGAAAGGCACTGAGGGAATGAGAAGTTCCTATTTTGAATGACGCTGACAATTGCTGAAAAGTCAAGGATTGTTCTGGCGTAATCCAAGCCCGCATGTGGGCTGAGTGGGACTCTCTGTCTGGGAGACAAACAGCTCTTGGCTAAATTGATTTTTAACTAAAGACACTCCAGATGGCTGAGCAGCAGCGACCTGTGAGCGATGAGTTCCCATTCTGACCTGGCTAGTACTAGCCAGTCGTCGAGGTAATTGAGAACGTGGATTCCCATCTGTCTCAGAGGGGAAAGAGCCACGTCTATGCACTTCGTAAAAGTGCGTGGGGCCAGAGACAGTCTGAATAGTAGGACTGTATATTGATAGGCCACCCCCTGAATGCGAATCTCAAGATGGTCCGTGGTAGCAAGCTATCTGGATGTGAAAGTAAGTGTCTTTCAAACCCACTGACAGAAACCAGTCCTGGTGGCCAATTTATGCAAGGATCTGTTTCAAAGTTAACATCTTGAACGGCCATCTCATGAGAGCGCGATTCAGATGTCTGAAATCGAGAATGGATCTGAGCCCGCCATCTTTCTTGGGAACAAGGAAGTAGTGGTTGTAAAATCCTGACTCGCTGTTTGCTGGAGGAACCATTTCTATGGCTCCTTTTGCAAACAGTGTTTGCGCTTCGAACTGGAGAACGTAAGCATCGTTGTCTCATACCGAAGTTTAGATAATACCTCTGAAGCAAGGTGGCCTTTGAGCAAACTCAAATGAGTAGCCTTGTTCTATAGTTTTTAGCACCCATCTTGACACATCTGGGATCATTTTCCAAGCCTGAGCCCGAATGGCAAGAGGTTCTAGCTTTGCGAATAACAGCTCGCTGGAGTTCCGGCTCCAGTGAGAACTGACCCTCTCCTCTTCCTCTTTACACACAGATCAGGACAGCTTCTGAGGCTCAGGGTCCACCGTCACTCTGGGGCGGGGACCTTGGCGCTTTGGATAAGGAAAACGTTTAGCCATCTGGGGGCACTGCTGCAGCCTGGGTTTGATCTTCGGCTGGGGTGGTGCCGGTTTTTCAGGCTGCTGGGGGGCAGAGCTTTTCTGGCTACTTGGAGCAAATGCTGTACTGGAGCACTTCAGCAGGAAGTGTCACAGAGCCTGTGAGGTATTCTGTGCCGCAATAAAGCGCTCAGAAAACCCATCCACAGCAGTGTCCAACAGCTGCCCAGACAGGCGACGCACTCACTGTGCCCATCTGCATCATGCAGGGGTTCACTGCATGAGCCGCACTTGTGGCGCAACATTCGAAACAACGCAGTGGAGAAAATTTGCTCATTATTTGCTCTTTTAATAGCCGGGTGGCCGCAGGGGAAGGGATGAAAAAATCGGTAGGGATGTAATGATTCACTCAACTCACGATGTGATAATTCACAATACTGATTTCACAATACGGTTTTCTCACGATTGTTTTTTAAAACAAAATTAGATTTAAGACAAATTATAAATGAAATGGAGTCCTTTTATTATTGCTTGGACAAAATGCTGCACATTTCTTTGTGAAATTGAAATATGTCAAATAACAAAACTAAATTGAAATTTTAAAACACCCCCAAATCTAATCAAATAAATAAGAAAAAAATATATTTTCATATAAAAAAGGCTTTGCCTGTGCTCTTTCTATTCAGAATTAGAGGCAACCACTGCATTTGAATCACAACAAAGATGCTGTCTACATGCAGTATGAGCAAATTTAATGTAAATTTGATTGTATAATTTGAAAATTTAAAACAAAAACAGAATGCTCTGACTTTAGTTTTGTGATGATACTGTAATACATAAAACATCTGCATGAAACAAACACAGCAGAAGCTCTGAATGAGATGCAGATTCACTCTCTGACAGCAGGTGGCACTTATGGAACAGCAGCGAAACAGAGTTTCCTTGGTTACCACTGTAAACAAAGCAGCTCTGCGCTAATGAACTGCATATTATACAGAGATGAGATGAAAATACCATCTAAACTTTTCTAAAGTAATTTTCTAAATGACAGTCAGTTCCCCTCAGAGATACATTCATATGAACTCCAACTGTATCGATTCATTTAACATCTCAACCGATTTGAATCGTCACATATTGAATCGATTTTCAACCGGCTCATGGTGCATTGTTACATCTCTACAAATCGGATTCAGATTGGTCGGATTATGGGTGTCATGTCATAAAGAAATTTTTAATATGACTGGATTTGTATTTAACTTGATCATGATTTAATAAAAAAAAGTAAGTTACTAATTATAATGCTTTCACGGTGATTCAAACAGCGGATAAATTATACATTAGCCTACAGTATGACTGACTTCAGTCTAGCATGAGTTTAAAAATAAAAAACAAAAAACTCCATACATCTGCACTTTGTTGTTTATGATGAGACTTTGCAGGCATAAACTCAACGAACTCGTGTGTGATTGGTTATAATGCGCAACACTGTAAAAACGCGTACAAAGAATTATGATGCAACATGAACAGATTTTAAATTGAATGCTGCAATAAACACTTTTAATTTCATTTTCTTTTTATTCGCGACAGCCATAATGGATTTAGTTTAACTGACTGTGCATCAGCATTTTGTTCCAAGCACCTGTTAATACTGCTCCGATGAGGTTTTGTTCGTCCTCCAGCCTTCCCCAGCCTTTCACACGCTCTGCCTATGTATTTTGCACATCAAGGAGACGCTACCGTTTCACAATGACTCTACTTTGACAGAATGAAGTTGTGTGCTGTTTGGAATGAAAATCTGAACTATTATTCTGAGGCACTAAGGCATCCATGAACTCCCAATCCATAAACTGCTGCATTAAGTGATTCTTCATATTTCTCGTCTTAGATACAATAGTCTGAACAAATGAGACATAAATGGCATGCTGGTTGCAAGATGCAAAAAATATCTGAGAAACTCATCAGCAGCCACTCAGAAGTATGATGACCATTTTTTTCCTTTCTGTTTCCCGGAGTTGGCCAGTAATTGCACACATTCCAAGCAAAACTATTGTACACCCTCAAGAGTTCCAATATGTGAAAAACAGAAAGAGTCTCCACCCAACAAGACCTAAAACTCCCAAATTCCTACAAATTCCTCTCACTGACTATTTATTTGGTACTTTACTTTTTTGTGCTTTTACTGGTAGTTGGGCATAACTATAAGATAGAATCAGAAAGACAACATATACACTTTTTTTGTGTCATAAATCATACATCGTCATAAGAAATCAAGAGCTGGAATAGAAATACTGATATAAATGTACATTTTCTTAAGACTCTTTCAGGCTTGTAATATTCAGCATGCTTTTAGGTTGGTCGGTCATGGAAATGTGATGTGCAGACATCTGCAGTGTTGAAATGAGTGTGTAAAATAAGTGAGTTGATGTACATCAAAGTGCATCCAAAGGACTGTGCCTGAGACAGAGAAAAGACATTTATGTGAAATGAATGTGTTGGTGGCGGAGTGGAAGGGATTTTTATTACACAAGCTTACTTCACTATCTCATTATTTAACTGAAATGTACATATACATTTTTTATTATTTTTTTTTTGTGGGGGACTCCGATATATGTGGGGTTTTAATTTTTAGCTTCAGAAAGCGTAGAGTTCTTACAGAAAAACCATGCAATGTTCATGCTGCATTAATCTGACTTGAACAGGTGCCACCCAAGTGGAAAACAACTAAAATTAATCTGTCACACAAGGGCTTCAAAGGCAAAGTGTAACATTCAAACAAGAAATGCATTCTTCAAGACTTACTTGAATAAAACCTGGTGTCTTCTTAATAAAATCTCTGAAACGAAGGCTCAGATTTTGGGATGACTGTCTTGCGGTATGCAATTCTTCTCCTGCAGTGGTTATACAGACTGGTTGTACAGAAAGAAGTATTGCCAAAATAATCAAGAATAACTGGGAGGAGAGGGGAGGGAACACAGAGAAAAGAGCGTAACAGAACTAAGGAGAAATACAAGCCCTGCCCTACATTTTTATGCATTTTTGCATGTTTTTATTCATTTTTATATGTAGAATCACTTAAATGCTGTTTATGCACTGTTTGCAAATCACATGAGAATCATAAGTTCATTTCCTATAAATAAAAATACTATAAATAAATTTTAATTCTAATAATAATAATAATAATAAAAACCTTATTATCACTTTTTAATCACTTTTGCTCTTGCCTTTGAACGACTCTTGCTTACTCATTATGTTCCTTATTTGTCCCTTGGAATAAATGCTTCTGCCAGTGGGTAAATGTAAATAAAATCTGTGGGTTTGTTTACAGAAGGCTGTATGTATAAATGCATGCAATAAGAGAGAAAAGACAAAAACAAAAAAAAACCTGGGGGAATGATAGAGTCAAAAACAACAAACAAAAAAGCGAAAGATAATTTGCTACAATTAATCGTGAAACCATCCATCCATTCTTTAAATTATTTGTCTTGTAGTAATCATAAACCATGTATCAATATTTGATGAGAAAATCCCAAATGAAGATAATCAGATGACATGTACGTATATGAGTAAACCAATGAATAGACCAGTGGCGTTCTGTCCATATAAGCTATGAATGCTCCGCATACCCAGGCTATTTGTGACCCTGGACCACAAAACCAGTATTAAGTCGCTGGGGTATATTTGTAGCAATAGCCAAAAATACATTGTATGGGTCAAAATTATTGATTTTTCTTTTATGCCAAAAATCATTAAGATATTAAGTAAAGATCATGTTCCATGAAGATATTTTGTAAATTTCCTACCGTAAATATATTAAAACTGAATTTTTGATTAGAAATATGCCTTATGACTGGTTTTGTGGTCCAGGGTCACATTTGAGAGAATAAGTTCACTGGTTAATTTATATAAACATGATTATAAGTTGATCCCTTGTCATTTCAAATGTAACTTAAAGCTTAAAGAGTTAGGAAGTACGTAAAAAGATTTATTTGCCAAATGGCAGTAATTTTTTCTTGAAATCTACCAGTTGTGGTTGCTTCGGGGCTAGCGGATTCTCTATGGGATGATATTAGACTCAAAATGATTAATAGATGCAGGCACAATTATCCATGTACTGCATACATTTTATACATGTATCTTACTAACCACAAACAAATGCCTTTCCGTGCATATGTGGATCAGCTGACACGCGTCTATTAATTGACGTCTAGTTCAAGTCGATCGTGTTCGGTTCATTTGGATTTTGAGACTTCATTTTCGCAGTTTACAGCATTTCACGTCCCCCACACACACAACTACCAATGAACAAGGCCCAGTACAATTAATTAACGTATACACAATTTGAAAAATTCGTAAATGTGCGTCACTACACTGAAACAAATGCTTTTCAACCGGTGTCTGTTAGATTAAGGAGTTAAGAATTACATTAATGTGCATCATTTTGTTCAAATAGAGACATATTTGTGAATACAAATGTTATAGTTTGTATTAAAGTATCATGATTTGTGCATGTAGCGATTAAAATGTGCATTTGTGGATCGGGCGAGGCCGTGCATTCATTCACGTCTCTTCTGAGTCGATTCTATTTGATTCATTTGAATTTTGAGACTTTCATGCCGCCCTTTTAGCCGTGCCCAATCCACACACACACAGCTCGCGATCCACACGCAGCTGAGACACAGAAAATCAGCGACCACTAGATGGCACCAGCCCCAGTCACATGTGCGCATTCCGTTGTGTACGGTTTCATGAATGTTGCATTGTGTTTTCTTTGTTTCTTTTTGGTTTGGCTAGTCTCCTCTACTGTAGAAATATAATAAAGATGTTTTATTGAACTTGTTCTAACTTAACTTGTCTTAAGACACAGAATAGCTTATATTAATTTTGCCAAACAAGAACTTTGTGACGGTACCTTGGTTTTGTTTCTGTAATTCAACGGCACGTTGTCAGTTATTCCTTCCTTGTATTTTTATTATTATTATTAAAAGGGCTATTATAGTCGCTCATTTAAGCCATTAGTAATCGCACGTTTATATTTAATTAAACTATTAAATTAACTTAAACTAAACTATACTAAACGAGCGTTTTATAGGCTATAGCCTATTCCGCGCTCAAGCGGATCGCATAAATAGCTAGAACATATCTTATTTAGGCTACTTATTACTAAACTGTTTTCTGAGTCAGTAGGCGCATTTCCATTAGGCGTATTTTCAATTCGCAATTTCAATTTGCGCAATTTGAAGGGTAATGGAAACGCGCCTAGTGTTATGA